CTGGACCCAGTGCTCCTGCTGCCTTGGGGTCAAGGTCAAGGTCAGACGAAGACCGTCGCTCTCACCCTCCTGCTTTCTTGCTCTCGTCCCGTCAACCTCAGAGCCTCTTCACACATCTATCGAATTGAAAATGATTATGGATTTAATCAGCTGTTCTCTCAACCACCAGACGACATGGTGCTGGAGAGCCCTCATGTCCTGAACGGACCCACGCAGCCGAGTACGTCATTGATTCCTAGAACGAGTGGAAGATGATGTGCCTATTTGTTCCGTCCATGGAGGACACAGAAGATGTGCACATTATTGGACTTATGATGACAGGATTTCTGCTTTTTGGACTCTGTGAATACCATGGACATCGACAAATTAGGGAGACGTCAGCAGCAGTTTCGACCGCGGTGAAGCTGCCAGCCTTATGTGACGGATTAATTTGTGTCTCGAGCTCAACCATAAGCTGGACACGATGTCTGAGAACCGTAGGCCACTCGTGGCTCCTGGAACTCGCCAGCACAAAGGATTCAAACTTGGAGAAAGTTAAATCGAGCATGGACCATGTGGAATGTCACAAATCCAGCTGTTTGGATTCACCATCGAGTGAACCAGCAGAACTTGAAGTCAGACAGAAATCAGAGTCTTGCTGCTCAAAACAATTGTTGATCTGTGTTTGGCCTCCTCGCTGGCTTTGGACAGGACAACTTATCTCAAATTGCTCCTGGAGGATACGTAACTAGAAGATCTGCCCCGCCCCCACTCCCCAGGACATCTGTGGCCTTATCAGAACCATGACGCTGATAGACACTGTACCATCTTATCAGAACTTTGGAACTCCGGAGTGTTTATGGAGAACTCATCAGCTTTGTTGACCTCTATGCATAAATGTATTATGATGTCATTGTATGTTGCAGTTTTATGTTGCGAGGTCTTTTTTGCATCTTTCGTACCGTTTCCCATGGACATGGTGAGACATGATTTGTTTTTTAGCTTCCTCCACCCTCGTGTTCTTTTCCTCGTGTTCTGCCTGTATGTTGTTTGCAACAGGTCTCTCTTGTAAATGAGCCTCAATGGGAACTAACCTTTATAAATAAAGGTCTAATAATTAAAATAGATCTGGGGCCATGTGGGTCATTTTGACCCAAGGGCAGCAGAGTTACTACAGGGGACCCAAACCTGATCCTCCAAATGTATCGCCCCACTTTAAGTCCGTTTTATAAAATAACTTCAAATAAGCAGGTTAAAAGAATTTAAGGAACTTTTATTCTTTATACTTTGCTCCCAAACAACCGGACTTTCTCGTAATATTTATCCGTTTGTGACATTGGCAGCTTTTGGTGCAATTCTCTGAAAATGGTCAGAAATTAGAGGCTAAATCTGAAGAAACAACGCTGCTCTAAAACTTTTGCACAGTTCAGCTTAAAGTTGATCAACTTTCTGCGTGGAAAAACGATCCAGATGTTAGGAGAGGCGTAAACACCGACACAAACACAAAAGAGTTGAATTCACAATGGAAGTGTAACAAATATAGTTTATTAAAAAGTCTGCTGCTCATTTATATCATTTGAATCCAGAAGCTCAGAAGATCTTTATAGAAATGCCAAACGGGTCCGAATATTTACAATTCATATCAATAATTATATTAACGCGATAAAACTCTGTTCCCCACTAAACAAAAAAGCATAAAAGACAAAAATAAAAATCCAAAACATGTGCAATGGAATGATTATCAGCAATATTTCTGTACATTTGAGGTTGGTTTCAAGGAGACGACCGTTCTTAACATGTGGAAACAGGAAGTGATGTCAGCAAAACAACGGCGTCCTCCTTTAATGATTCACGACAGAAAGGCATCGAGACGAAACGTGAACGAGACAAACCACCAGCTGGAGACAGAAACGAGCCTCAGGTCACTCCTCTCAGCATCGAGTGTTTCAGATCAACGATTATTAATTATAGATCAACATCCGATCAGTGTCACAGCACAGGAAATTCATTCCTAACAGGGGGAGGAAAATTCTGTGGATCAGCCCTTTAAAGAGTCCCAAACCCTGAAGGACGTTCCAGAAATCCTCGATTCTTTTATTTCCCCCGGAATAAAGAATCTACATTTAAAACCGTAAAGATGTTTTTTTTTTTTTTAATCTCTCCTCTCATCTCCTCAGATTTCCTATAACTCCATAAAACGACAAAAATCAGCAGGATTACCTGATAATCTGGTAATCGCCAGAATCAGAATCTTCGCAGCAGCTGCAGAATAATCTGAAATAAATTATCTTCATGTAAAGTTTAACTTTTTAAACGTTTAATCTTTAATCACAGAGCATTAGATGCAGCAGATTGCATCTCTATGAAAAATTAAAAAACAGCTGGACTTTTAGTTTTGAGCAATTTAGGCCCCAAACAACTAAATTAATTAGTAACATTATTACTAAATCACATAGTGCTTGCTAACGGCCCAACAGTTGTAATAAAGCAGCTCAGTTGTTGTAATTTATTAATCTGACATTTCATTTATTATCAGATTTTAAAGTTTGGTTTATAAAAAGTAAATGATCCTGATCTGAATGAATAAAAGCACATTTCACAGCTTCAAGGCTGTTTTTAATGCTTTATAATGTTTAGAAACTCATGAATAAAGCATTAATAAAACACTTTATTATTGATGAGTGATCTCTGACTGAGATGGCAGTGATGAGTGTAAATGAAGTTACCAGTAATCCAAGTAAAAATCTCATATTTATCCATTAAAGCCGTGGTTCCCAACAATGATCCTTGCGGAACACCTTTCTGACTTTTTTTTTCCTGATTTGGTGATTAACAGGCTTTGGTTGAACTTGTAATTAAATCATTGAAGCAGGTGTGTTGGAGCAGGGAAACAGCTAAAACATGCAGGGTGGTGTTCCTCAGGGACCAGTGTTGGGAACCACTGCATTAAAGCAGCAGAAAGTAGAGCAGGTGAGAGGAAGTGAAGAAAACGGACGCGTCAGTTCTCAAAAATTCAAGTTTCTCTGAATTTAAATCCACGATCTTTAAACTTTTGTGCTTTCACAGAGAAAAAAATTAGCAATAAAAATAAACGAAACCTGAAAATCAGACTTCTTCCCTTCACATTGGACGGTACAATCACTCGGCTCGTCAGTAGCTGCTGGGCCACAGCTCGCTCCCATCACCACCGCTACACATAAATGATCAGTCAGACTTTACACCCCCCCATCCCCACCCCCCACATGGAAACAATTCATGCCCCAGAACAGAAAACAGGTCCGATCAGCCCAGAACAGGCGGGAATGATCCAAACGAAACAAAAACACGTCAAATTAAAACGGACACGATTAAACCAAAAGTTTCCTGCTGGGTTTTGTTCTTGTTGTAGCAACAAACACAAACATCAGCTAAAATCTCCTCGGCCGACACCAAAAAGCTAAAGAAATGAGAAGAGCAAAGGTTTTAATTCTCCGTTAGTGATTTTTATAGTTTTAGTCCGATTTCTTCACTTGAACCGAACGTCTGCAGAAACACCGGAGGAGGTTTCTTCAGCTCTTATGAAATTTAATTTTAAAATAAAAACCTGAATCTGAGGTTTCTTACAGTAAAATCAAACAGAAATGTGTTTGTTTTGACGTTTCTTTGTCATTTCTGGAGCTGAACTCCGATATTTCTCGTAGTTCAGGTGCGTTTTTATGAACATCTTCACCTCCTGGTCGTTTTCACGTAGTAATAAAATAATTATGAAAGTTTTTGAAGCGTAACGTTCAGTCAGAACCGGGTTCATAAAAGACAAAAATTCAACTTTCTATTTTAAAATTCCAGTTTTCAAACCTTCATTTGAACTTTTTGTAAATTTATTAATGGATTTTTTGTACACTGGTGCAGTTTTTAAACACATGATTTGATGTTTAATCTTCAATAAGTTGTTTTTTTTATTGGTTCAACAAATCAATCATGTGATTATTTACTCTTAATAAATTCCGTTTTAGGAGTTTATTTAATAAGAAAATGCACGTGGACACGTTCCCTCGATTATTGAAGACATTTCCATCTCCTCCTCCGAGGAGCCGTCTCTAATTTTCAAACTGCGGTGAGTTATTTTGTTTTTAAGATGAGCTCACGTGAAAAGCTCCCCTCCTTCCCCAGGATTATTTCGGCCTTTGTTTTGGTTTTAAAACCTGAAACTTTAAAGCAGTTTTCAGTTTAAATCGATGTAAAACAAACAAAACAAAACAAAAAACGCCTCATTCCTGCAGCTTTGAGAAATTCAGGATTTTTGTGTTTGCAGACTCCACGTGAAGCTGGAAACATTTTATTTACTCAGCCAGACCTGAAACTATTACAACTAAACTCTACACTTTAAGTTCTCAGGTATTAATCTTTTTATTTGGCTCATTAAGTGTAACATCAACGTTTCACCACTAGGTGTCGCTGCAGTCAAGGAAACGGACCATTTCAACTCGATTTGTGAGAATAAAATAAAAGTCTGGTTTTATTCTAGCAGGTTTTTTTAATCATCTGATGAAACTTTGGTGGTCTGATCTACTTATCTCACCAACTGTTCATGTGTTTTTTTTTTTCTTTCAAGCTGAAGTTTCTCTGAATATCAAATCAAAAGGTCGGAGTAATCCTTTAATCCACCTCTAGTTTTGGTTTAATCCTCATCAGAGACGACGGGGGGAACTTCCTTAAAGCGGAACGAACGATTCTCCTCTGCGTTTGTGTGAGCCGTCTCTCCCTCAGACTCCTCTTCATCAGTGAAGGCACTAAATCGAAGACTAAACTGGATTAAATCTGGCTCCGTGTCGAATCTTTAAAGACGAACTTTGGAACAAAAAAACAACAAAAAAAAACAGACGAAGCGACACAAAAACACATCTTTAGTCGAGAAAGCTGCGTCACGTCAGTATGGCTTTGTGTACGAAGGTGAGTCCTCACAGAGGAGAGAAGATGCCTGCTGGACCCAACGAAGAGGAAACTCCAGTGAACCCATACTTTGATGAACAGGATGAATCAGAGTTCCTTTAAAGAGGAGACACTCTGCGCCGAAAGGTTCAAATCAGATCTTTTTAACCAGTAACGCTCCACTGGTTGGCTCTTTCCCAACGGTTTTAAACTCCTCCCTACATTCCTTGTGCTCTGATTCACCTTTAAAAGGTTTCGGAGGACGTAAACAACAAAATGAACTCAAAACTGGGTCGTTTTTGTAAAGCAAACGATCAGGTTTGGAAACCGGACCAGCGTTAAACTCCCTGCACCGGTCGAACCCCGGTGGAAACGTGAGGATTGTTACAAACTGACGGAGGAGAAAAAGGTAGCTGCGTGTAAACGATGTGAGGAAGATGAAGCTACCGGCGGGTAGAGAAACAGCCCGGCTGGTCGGAGCAGACGTCCAGGAGTTTACAAAACGAGTTCCGCTTGTGCCGCGTCTTTCCTTTAACGCCCACAGACACGAGCACGTCTGTAGAAAAGGGGAATCCCAACATTTCTTCAACAACACGGCCGAAAAACAAAAAACTGGCTCTTATTCAGGCGAGAAAAACAAAAAACAAACGTGAAGTAAACGTTGTCCTCAGTCAGAGTTTTGGTTGTGCCCAAAGACCGGGGTCCACTTCCAGGTCAGCCGGTCTCTCCCTCACAGAAAACAAGTCGGAGCTCCGAACAACAAACCTGCTGAGAAATAAAGCGAACTGTCCCTTTAAACGAGAAGCAGCTGATTATCTCTGCAGGCGTGGGTCGCTGAACACAAACCTGAGCAGAAGAAGAGTTTGAACGTTTCCGTCACGTTATCTTGTCAATAAACATCTGGAGCCTCAGACCCAACCAGAGACAGTTCATCAAAAAAAAAAAAAAAAAAAAAAAAAATTAAAGCAAAAACCCCAAAACTGGACCTGCTCCGACAAATCCAAAATAAAAATCTGATCAGGAGAAATCTGTCGCCGCGTCGGGCTCCGAACGGCCGAAGTGTTGGAGACGAACAGCTGCAGGCTCAGATGCACAGGAGACCGGTCCGAGTCCACTACTCCACTTCATTGGGTCGGTCCGTTTGGTCCTTCCTGATCACCGGCAGGGGGTGAGCCTCGGTGTTGAAGACCCAGTGCTCGAACGGTAGGTGATCGTCATCAGAGAAGAGCAGGTAGAGGTACCTGCAGGAAACAGGAAGCAGAGTTTAACAGACAGGAAGTGACACACGTGGTTCTTCATGCTCTGACGGAAGGAAACACTTTCCAAATATCTCAGCTCAATTTATTGAAACAAAGTGTTTAATTGATCTCCTGCTGACCAAACTTTACTCTTTATAAACGTCTTCCTCTGTTCTTTGTTGCTCGAGTTGTTCAGAGTACGCAGGTGTTTGAGGTGTTTTTCTACTTATTTAGCTGCAGTGCTGCCACACCTGCGTGAGCAACAGTCCACCGGGAGTGTGTGGATAAAGTCACAGAGCGAGCGCTGAATAACAAACGTTTGACTCCAACAGGTTCAGCTGGAAGCTCCGGGTGAAACAGCAACGTTCTTTTACTTGTCCTCCAAATCAAAGTCCTGATTAAGAACATGCTAAAGGTTCCACTTCCTTGTTTTCTAGTAGAAACAACAACAATGTAAATGCATAAACATCTTATGTTCTCACAGCGATGCCGCTGTATGCTGACGACTGCCCTCTCTGCCTCTGGCGTCCACAGATCAACCTGTCGGAGCAGCCGGACCAGCAGCGACCGGCTCCGTACGGACAGGAAAACAGGCAGGGAACTGGGAGTGACTGGTTGAACTTATGAAACACGGTGGACTCAACCCAGTCAGGAAGTAGGTGTTTTAACAAAAGAAGCAGTATCGTAGGTTTGCTAAGGCTTAACTAGGTAATCAGCAAGCAGGACCTGATGTATGGAAAGCTGGCTGTGCATTATTTGGTGATACACTGGCTAGATGGGCAGGCAGAGCTCTAAGTTGCTTTTAACAGATGTGTCAGCTGAACTCCCTGCTCAGATCCAGCTGTTAGTCCAGCGAAACCTCACGGCCATTTTGTTGCAAGCAAAATGTCAACGCCAACGTTCAAAGGTAATTAATAAAGTCGATGCGTCAGTTGAACCAGTAAGTGATTCCTGGGGTTTTATGTCTACGGCACAATTAACGTCAGCTTTCATCATTTTATATTTTTTAAATACATAAAAGAACCCTCATTGACTGTTACTCTAAATTAAACAGAAAGGACGTTTTAATAAAGCCTTCCTAAATAAATGTCAAAGTATAGAATCCGTTTGTTCTTTAGCTTCTTGCTGATTACATACCATATTTTAGCTGCACAAGTCGCACCTTTTTGCATAAATTAGCATGACCTGCGCCTTATTTATGTTTATCCCCACATTTATAACCAGTTTTTGGCCGAGATCTGATGATGTCATTCATTCTGACATGGAAAATATTGAACGCTACCATTTTCTGCCGCTAGAGGGCCCTCGACTAATGTGGCAAGCCAAGTGTCTCATTAATAGGTAAAAGTGGCTATTAATGAGACACTTGGCTTGCCATACAGGGCCACCTTCATCCAGCTCCAGAACTCCCGGAGCAAACGTCAACAGAAACTGTTTGGTCTTAGTGGCGTCACAGATTTACTCTTTAATGTGTGAAGATGAATGAATCGACTCTCGAGTGTCTTCATGAAGTTTTTATGCTCAGGGACTGTTTACTTTAGAGTGTTTTGACGTTATTTCCAAAAGGCGTTTTTGCAATATTTACAGGCGATCCTGCCAGGGAGGAGAAGAGACGACTGGATCTGAGCTCAGACCAGTTTATAAAGCCTGACGCGATGAAGTGCTGCTGATCAGACCCGACGAAAGAAAACTCCTGACAGAGAATAATTCATCAAAGGCGGGGCATTAAAGTAAGCACATTTAAAAAATAATAATAATAAATTCTAGGGCAGCTGTTGGACAAGAAACAAGTTCAGGTTTCATCGTGAAAGTAAAGAAACGGAATCGATGAAAGCAAACGCCCCCGAGAAGGTGTTTTTAATTCTGTCTGGAAAACAAGCTGAAGAAAAGAGGAATAGTTAAATCCATGCGTTGGGGGGGCTGGTTGTCTCTTTCTCTGTATGTAATCAGTGAGTGGTGGGGGGTGTGGGGGGTGCAGACAGCAGCGTGAAGTATGATCGTGTCCTTGGCAGCAGAGGGATGATGAATACTGGAAGCCCGGCTCCCTGAGGAACATTAGCAGGATTAGACACCAGTTCTGCTGCTGGACTGGATTCAGATTTTCCAGTCCGGTCAGATGTTTCCTACGCATCATGAATACCACGCAGCCCGACTGATGAGGTAATTATTGTGTTAGTTTCGTGCTGGTGGTCAGTTCTTTTCCTTCAGCGTGACATTATGCTAACGAGACATTCTCCTCTTCTCGTTCTGGTCCTCCAGAAGGGATTCACGTTCTCGTTGTGGATCTCTCTCTGTAGCTTCGCCTTCGTGCGGCTGAAAGAAAGCGAGATTAAATCTCCACAAGCTGATCTGAACACGGGCGTCCTCGTGTCTGTGTTGTAATCAGGAGCGGAGGTGACGGCTGATGAAATTTACAGCTCGTAAATAAAGCTGGCTCCTCACCCTCCGTGTGGCTGACCTTGACTTCCTTTCATCGGCTTTCAGAAGCGCGGCGCAGAGAGCAAGAGGCTCTCCTACCTGAGAGCAGCTAAAGGACACGAGACTTTAAATGTGTCACAAAGTCGAGGAGGAAACGTCAGGGCGTTACTTTCTGTCACTGTTCAGTTCGTTAATAAACTAAAACACCCACAGTGTGATGACCAGTTTAATCTAGGGAGATATTTTAGACATTTAGTTTAACTTCCTGCAAAATTCACAATAGAATAAAAATTTAACCTTTAATCTAGAAAAGTTTTCAACAACCGAGCTCCGTCTTATATTAAATCTTATTGTTCCTTACAGAGCACTTTGCTCTTAGACTGCAGGTTTACTTGTGGTTCCTAGAGTTTCTAAGATGGGAGGCAGAGCTTTCAGTTACCGGTTGAGCAGAGACTTCTAGTTTGTGTCCGTGAGGCTGACGCCCGGTCTAATTTAAAACTTTCCTTCCTGATTAATTCTACAGTTAGGGTTGCTCGGGTTTCCTGAGCTCTCCCTTAGTTCTGCTGCTATAGGCGTAGACTGCTGACCACATTTCTTCACTCTGCTGTCGTTAGTCTCTCTGCTCTTCATGTTTGGACATGAACTTATTGCTGCAATTAACATGTCCTGTTCTCTCTGTTCCCATAGAAACTACACTGGGACCAATCATTCTTTGTCCGCATGTTACGGGTCATATGCAGGTTAACACAAGGTCAACGACGCAATGAAATGTTCAGGATGGGAAGGACCTTCTCGACTCGCTAAGTAAAAAAAAAAAAAAAGAAATAATAAAGCGTGCAATAAGGGTACAAAATAAAGTACCAAAAAGTTAAAAACAAATATAATATTTACAAGATCCTAAATGGTAGAATATAACGATGCAAGTAGGATGAAGTAGTATAAAAAAGTATTTCACAGGTAGTAATGTTAGCTTAAATACACAAGATATATAATTAGGGATGCACTGATCCACTTTTTTAAACTTCCGATCCGATCCCGATACCTAAATCTGAATATCGTCCGATACCGATACTGGCTCGGATCGGCCCCATCCCTATATATAATGCACATAACATGTACTACAGAGATCATGTGACAGGTTATTGCACAGGTAGTGAGAAACATTGAGATGAATTATGATGGTAAGGTTGTGACATACATGATACAGCCACATGGTGCAGCAGCAACAAACACATTGGATGTCACAGGATGTACATGTGCGTCCTCTTAAACCCCTGCTCATTTGGGTTCTGGTTCTGCTAGGGTAGGGGTCCAGAGCCAGACCCAATTAAAGTCTTTTCTGGACCCAAAAAGTTGTTAAATCCCTTATATTTAAGGTAATTCACAGCTGTTCAGTATTGCCACATCTGGTGAACGGTTCATGATGTGAACTTGTTGGTCCTGCGAACAGTGCAGCGAGTTTTAAACAGTCGGGTCGTTAAGTTTGCAGCTCGTGCACACACACCTTCACCTTTGTGAAGCTGTGGCTGCTTATCACGCTTTAAACGCAGCGCCACCTGAACACGGACGAAACGTTCAATGCTCCTGTGCGGCTGCCAAGATGGTCATTAAATCATTTGTGGCTAAACGCTCCCGCCCTCACACAAACATCAACAGTTGCGTCCTAAAGCCTGCATCAGTCTGTCGGGTGAAAGTAACACGACTAATAAGAAGAAGTATCTGGCAGTGAAGTGTGGAGGCATGTGGTGTTTCTCACAGTTTACTATCTGCATCCTCTCTCACATTTATCCAAGACATTAATCACGTCGAGGAGATCCATGTCTGTAAAATGGAGTGAAGTTACTGAAAATAAACTCTACTTCAGTTAATGATCACTATCTGCCACCAGAGAAACGATTCCCGTTTACTGCTGGAGTATTTTCCAAAAAAACATGCAACATTGATTTAAACTAGAGGTCACCAATAGGTGGACTTCAGTCTGGATCCGGGCCGAGTGATGGTTCTGCCCGGACCCGTGCCCAATCTGATAAATTGAGGAAAACTGATAATTTTCATGGAGCGTTTTTCCAGCGATAGACAGCTCAGGTGCAGAGCCGAGCAGAGAAGCATGAGGTGTGTTCTGGAGGTTCACTCTACTTCAGGTGTTACGGTAATAGCGTCAGCCAATCAAATCTCTTGTTTTCCCTGCAGTCCAGCGAGCTCACCGAAGCAGCAGGTCAGAGACGAAGAGACAACATGTCGTGCTCCAAAACAAGAAAAGTTGATGCTGAAAACCGCTGTTTTAAAGATGGACGGACAGAGAAATGTATGTTCATGCTTCCAGCAGGCAGTTCAAAACCTCTTTGCCTCATATGTATATATACTCAGACCACAGTTTGTGAGACTGAAGGGTTGTGTGTCCAACCAGGTGGTCAGTAGCTCAGGAGCACCACAGGGGACTGTACTCGCACCATTCCTTTTCATCTTGTACACCTCAGATTTCCAGTACAAAACAGACTCCTGTCATCTGCAGAAACATTCTGATGACTCTGCAGTGGTCGGGTGCATCAGAGATGGACAAGAAGCCGAGTACAGGGTGGACCGTTGTGTGAAATGGTGTGGAAACAATCATCTCATCTTGAATGTGAACAAAACAAAGGAGATGATTGTAGATTTCAGGAGAAACAGGAACAGGTCCAACCCTATTTCCATCATGGGAGAAGAAGTGGAGGTGGTGGAGAAGTCTAAATACCTTGGGGTTCACCTGGACAACAGACTGGACTGGAGATGCAACAGTGAAGCGTCTACAAGAAGGGACAGAGCAGACTGTACTTCTTGAGGAAGCTGAAGTCCTTCAGTGTTTGCAGCAAGATGCTGCATATCTTCTATAAGTCTGTTGTAGAGAGCACTGTCTCTTCTGCCATCATCTGCTGGGGGAGCAGCACCAGAGCAAGTGACTTCAAAAAGATCAACAAGCTCATAAAGAAGGCTGGCTCAGTTCTGGGGACTCCTCTAGAACCTCTGGAGATGATTGTACAAAGAAGGATTCTTCATAAAATGAAGAACATTATAGACAACCCTCAGCATCCTCTTCATCAGACTGTCATACAACAACAGAGTGTCATACAACAACAGAGTGTCATACAACAACAGTGTCTTCAGTCAGAGGCTTCTTCAGATCCGTGTAGGACAGACCAGAACAAGAGATCCTTCCTGCCCACAGCATCAGCATCTAGAACAACTCTAATGAAACCAGGATGATGAGTTACAACATTTAATTTCCCTCTGGGATTAATAAAGTATTTTTGAATTGAATTGAATGCTCCGAAACGGTTAATTAATTAATTATAAAAGTGGCAACGTGAAGCGCTCTTCATCTCTTTTGAGCAACGTTATCTGCCGAAGTTTGAGCAGTAAATTAACCAAACTGGAAGCCCAGTATGACAGATCCACCGTACTCATCACAAATACTGTTCCAGTCCAGCAGCTGCTGAATGTTCACTCAACGTATCGTGGATTTTGGAGCAACATAAAAAAACATTTAGCGACGGGACAGTCCTGAAGGGGTGCTTAATGCTGTCGCTGAGACATTTGACGGAAAACAAAAAGACGAGACGTGTGAAAACAATCGAACAAAACCCGATGTCAGCTTCAACAGCAAGAAGAAAAGCAGAAATATTAGCAGACGATGAGCTGGCACAGCTGGATGCAGCTGTTCAGAATCATCCATGAGTCTACTGATGATGCTACATGAGAACGGCTCTGACTCCAAACAAGATTTAAATTACTGGCAGGACAATATATACGACATACTTTTTACACCTAAATCATCTGATAAGCCGAGCAAACTAACAGCACGTGCTGACTGACGGAGTCTTCATCTGCAGCAGCGCTGAACTCCTGCACACACTATTTATTTAGAAATCCTTTGCAGCTGGCAGATCTGCAGACACCAACGAAACACAAACTTCTAGGAATAATCAGAGTATTTAAGCCACGGCTTGTAGCGTTCAGTGTTTGCAGACGTTTGAACTCAAAGCAGTAGAAAACATAATTGTAGCTTTACAAACAAAGAGAGGTTTGTGTCTTTTCTTTGTTACCGAGGCAAAACTGTTAGCAGTGAAAAGTGCAGCAGAAAATCCAGCACACTGAAGTCAGCTTTGGAAACAACTTAAAAACCTGCACTGAGCGCCGAATGATGCTGAATTTGTTGAATTATTTTGTTACTAAACTGCTAAATGATAAACAAGCAACTTGTAAAACCGCAGCTAAAATCTACTATTCGCAAACGTTTAGCTAAAAGCTAAATGTAAATAGAGAAATTGCATTTACTGCAAAAATGCAGTGTAAATGTTTATTGCAGATAAACAGCTGAAAGTAGCTAAAACATGCAGAAATGTATATAAAATGGAAGAACAAGCCTAAATAAGCAGAAGAAAGCAGAAAGAACAAATATTTGCCTAATTTAATTTAAATAAACAGAAATGAGTACAAAAATAGGGAAATTAGCAAAAAATAGCTGAAAAGTAGCTGAAAAGGTAAAAATAAGATAAGATAGAATTTCATTGATCCTGCAGGAAATTGTTGTGCCAGAGTTTCAGTACAAAGGAACAAGGAATCACACAAAATATAAAAAAGTAACAGAGAATATAAAAAAATACCAGCAATTAAGTTCTAAAACAGATTGGGTGCAGACAGAAACATTAAAGTTTAGATTAAAAAGAAGCTTAAACTACCAGAAGGAAGAAGAAGGTGCTGAAATTAGATTAAAAAAAAAAGGCAGAATTAGCTTAAAAACAGCTAAATTGAAGCTGAAATAGTAGAAAAAGCTGAAAGTAGCAGAAAGAATCTAAAAGGAGCATAACAAGCTGAAATTAGCAGAAATTAACATGAAAAATTTGAATTGATCTGAAAACAGCTGAATTTAGATAAAAAATGCTAAAAGTTTAGCTGAAAATGTAGAACAAGCTTAAATTAGCAGAAAGTAACATTTTTGTCCAATTAGGCTGAAAGAAGCAGAAATGAGCACGAAAAAGTGAAAATTATCTGAAAAAAGCTTAAATTAGCCACACAAAAAAAAAATGCTGAAAAGTAGCTAAAAAGCAGAAAGAAGCTTAAATTACAAGAAGGAAGTAGAGAGAGTACATTTTGCTGAATTAGGCTGAAAAAGTTTAAATGAGTGCAAAAAATGAAGAATTAGCTGAAAACGCCTAAAATAGCTAAAAGAAAACCAGCTAAATAATAGCTGAAATAAATTAAACTAGCAGAAATAAGCTGAAAGGAGCATAACAAGTTGAAAGCAGGAAGAAGCTAGAAGAAAAACTAAAATGTTGTAGTTAACAGAAAAAATCTGAAAGGAGCACAAAACAGCTGGAAAAACAGCTGAAATTAGCTGAATATTTTATTTAAATTTGGACAAGGAAGCTGAAAGTAGCTGAAGCAGAACAAAATGTGAAAGGAGCAGTAAAAGGTTGTAAACACATCTAAAGATTTGAAGGAGGGAAAATTAGCTCAATTCATTTTCTATGAGGGGAAAAAATGGCAGAAAAGGCTAAATATTTCAAACAGCTAAAGTTGCACCAATATCAAAAGTCGTAACAGGACTGTCCTGAAAGAGCTGAACGTTTTAATTTATGATTCGTTGAAAAAGCACAAAAACTGCGGAACGAGAAAGATGCTGCAAAACGTACAGAAGAAAAATGTAACAATAGTGTGAATGCTTCATGAGTGTGGAGACAATAAAACACTTGCTAAAAGCTAAACGTAGCAAGACAACAGCTTAAAGCTAAAATGAGCAGAAGAAAGCAAAAACAAAGCAAATGTGCTGAAGTAGAATTTGGAGAACAATGGTCTGGAAGAACTTAAAGAGGACACAATGTAACTATGTGGAAACGTTTTGTGATTAAAGTTAAATAAATTAAAAAGTATGAACGTTATAAATACTACAAGTCATGGTACAGCATCATCTTGTTGAATGCAGAAGAAACTGTGTGAACCCTCACTGTGCTGGGACCCATCAGTTTGGATTCAAGCTCAACTTTTGAGTCCAATCTGAAAAATGTTAATCCGTCCTAATCAAATATTCACTTTCAAATCTAAATTAAGCAAATAACTAAATTCTAACCTCAAAAATAAAACTCAATTTTCCTTTCTGCTGCTCCACAATGATGTCATTAATAAATCAGACACTGTGTTTGTAAATTTGGCATTAATTCTGTACTTCCTACGGTTTCCTCAGATTACCGTGTGCGTGTGATAACCCCGTCTCTCTCCAAAGCTTAGCCGAATGAATGACAACTGGAGTTTTGTGCGCCGGAGCCTCGACACGTCTGTCAGACCCTCCGCGGCGCTCGCTGACAGCGGAGGACACCAGGGAAGGCAGCGTGTGTGTGAAGCTGTTCACTTCGGGTCTTACTTTAGCGTCTCGGCCAAGTAGAAGCTCTGCTGCACGTCGTCGTGGCTCGGAGACGAAGCGTAGACGTCTCTGACGCCGCTGTAACCTCCTTCTACTTTACAGTGCTGCTCCAAGGCCTGACGGACAGACACGATAACAAGACAAGAAAATGGATGAAGACTTGGCATCGTCGAACATCTCTACACCTTGCTTCAGAATTTAAAGGTCAATGGGTTGACCTTTATGAACTTTATTCCTCGGAGTTGGTTTCTGGAGGACGTAACCTTCCAGTTCATTGATTTTCAGACAGAAACTCCTAAATGTCTCTCACTGAACGTTACAGGGAAATCGGACAGCGGTTCACCTTCACAGCCTCCCAGCCCCACTCCCTGTATTTGGGGTCGTGGGTGAATCTCCACATGTACATGTAGGTCTCGATGACCTCTGGGCGGAGGATGAAGTACTTCTCGTTCTGGCGCGTGGCGATGGCCTCGACCCCCCCGTCGAAACGAAACGCTTCTGGACCCAGCTTCAAGGCTGCACAGCAAAGGAAAGAAATGGAAAAACTGCATATTTTCCCTGGATTTTACGTACGTTCTGTACCGGTAGGTGCTGTAGGAACGATATGGTAGTTGATGTCATTCATTGTGTGAACGCTCACTAAGCGTTATCGTGAGCCTGTTTATATATTTACTTATTGTTAATATCCCTATTCCGTACGTTTTTCAGTATCTTCCTCGTTCCACAATTTTTGTGCTATTTCAACAAATCATAAAACGTTCGGCTCGTTCAGGACAATCCTGCTATGACTTTTGGTATTGGTGCAACTTCAGCTTTTTGAAATATTTAGCCTTTTTGGCTATTTTTTTTCTCATAGAAAATGAATTGAGCACATTTTACACCTTTAGCTCTGTTTACAACCTTTTTCTGCTCCTTTCACATTTTGTTCTGCTTCAGCTTCTTGTGCAAGTTTAAACTTTTTTCAGCTCATTTCAGCTGTTTTGTGCTCCTTTCAGATACTTTCTGCCAACTACATTTTTGTGCCTCTTCTAACTTCTTTCTGCTAATTTTAGCTTGTTATGCTCCTTTTGGCTTATTTCTGCACGTTTCAGCTTATTTCAGCCATTTCAGCTACTATTTAGCAGTTCTTATGCTAATTTTAAGTTTTCCAGCTAATTCTCCATTTGTTGCACTCAATTAAACTTTTTCAGCCTAATTCAGCAAAAATGTGCTCTCTCCACTCCCTTCAGGTAATTTAAGCGTCTTTTTTTAGCTACTATTCAGCTGTTTTTTTCTTTTTCTTTTGCAAATTACTACTTTTTCCAGATAATTTCAACTTTTTGTGATCATTTCCATTTCTTTCAGCCTAATTTGACACAATTGTGCTCTCTCCACTTCCATCTGGTAATTTAAGCTGCTTTCTGCTTTTTTAGCTACTATTCATATGGAGTTGGCAAATTTCTGCTCGTTTTAGATAATTTCCACTTTATGTGCTCATTTCTGCTTCTTTCAGTCTAAATTGGCACAACTGCTCTCTCCACTTCTGGTAATTTAAGCTTTTTTTTTTTTTCCTTTTCAGCTACTTTTCAACTATTTCTTGCTAATTTCAGCTGTTTTAGCTAATTTACTAATTTTTGTGCTCATTTTTGCTTATTTAAACCAAATTCAGCAATGATGTGATCTTTCTGCTTTCTTCTGCTAACTTGGACTTGTTCTTTCATTTTAGCTACATTTCAGCAAGTTTTTAGCCAATTTCAGCTGATTATCAGCAAGATCTTCAGCAAAAACGTTTCCCTTTTTAAATAAAATTAATTTGTTCATTCATTCAAAAAGCATCCACGCTGCATTTTTGCAGGAAATGCAATTTCTCTAGTTTGTATAGCATCAAGTTGAGTGAGTGTGGGAGCAGAAACATCAAGCTGGAGTTTAGTAAAAATAGTAATGACACGTCAGGACTTCAGGAAAACTAAAATACTGGAGAAAATAAATCGATATTTCAACAAGGCTCTTTGAAACAAACTGATGAGCAGAAAGTAAAATCAGGTTTTACTTCTCAAAACCTTTAAATGTTTCTGTTTGTGTTCGTCTACCTGTCCTGGCGTAGGACTCGTGACAGGTGCGGGCGATCTCCGCTGCCAGCTCCATCTGGTGGCCCGTCTTGTCGCTGGGCGCCCCGTCGGCACCCAGAGCGATCATCCCACCGGCGAAACACGTCAGGTGACCCATCTTGTGCTCCAGCAGCCCCCCCTTCCACTCCGCTATGTAGGTGAGGCCGCTGCTCGACTTCCTTATCAGATTGGCTTCTATTGCCTGAAAAACAGACGTGCAGGTGTTGGTTCTGCCACTCCTGAACTTTGACCTTTTGAATTTCAAATTGCTGATTGTTTAATGCCACACGGTATTTATTGACAAACAGCTGACGTTATAGACCAGATAATCCGACTTATTGCAGGCTGCTCTTGATCTTTGTTTCAATGTGACCTTAAACAATTTGATTCAACTTTGAAAAAACTCACGACTCACTTAGATTTCATTAAAAACTTCAGACAGAAATCACTGGACGCGCGTCTACAACTGGTGGACTACGAGAGTCGGTCCAATTCAAGATGGCCACTGCAGCTAGCGGACATTGGTAGACACAAAACCGTCTCCAACTCAGTCATTTTTTCCACTTATCAAGATTAATTTTTGACGTGGTAGTAGCTCAGAGTCTTTCACAGAGACTCCTTTTAGATGCGACACCACGAGATACATTATTTTTAGGATTTGACTACAACGTGACGATTTCAGTTAAAAACTCCAGCATAAAACAAGCTAACGTGTTAGCACGCTACATGCTGACATGTAATGTGGTAGTAGTTGAGAGCCATCCCCAACACAGACCCTGAGCACTAAACGATGTGAGGTCAGCGAGTTGTCCCTCGCTACTTCGCGGTTGGACTTTCACAGACTCACTGTTTAGAAGGTTTTCAGGGTTAAGATTGTAAACGACACACGATTGGCAGATTGATGGAAGGCGACCAACCAGAGCACTGTGCTCTGTGTCGCAGGCGCTGATTGGCTCAGTAACCGCAGCATCAGTCTGTCCGCTCTCTTTCGCTGTGCTCGTTTGTGAAAGAGAAGCAGCGCCAGCAACTCCACAAAACTAGCGTATTTTTCGCTGTATAAGTTGCAGTTTTTTTGCTTAACTTGGCATGCCTGCAACTTATATAGTGAAGCGAAGTATTTATGTTTTTTCCCATATTTATAACCTAATTTTTAGACTATTATAGCAAGCCAAGTGCCTCATTAATAGGTAAAAGTGGCTATTAATGAGACACTTGGCTTGCCATACCAAACCAATTTCGTCTCGCTCCGGAACTCCTGGAGCAAACATCAAATCAGCTGCATTTCACCGTGCCGCCCAGACGAAATGCAGCTGATGTGACCATTGAAGTGCATTTATTTAGGAAAAGTTCAACTGAGACACACCTTTATTATAATTTCGAGTAAACAAATAATTGTTTTAAAGTCTTAATCTTGGTAAATTCTTGTTCAAGTCCTCTTGTGCACGCTCCCGCAGCCGCCATTTGGCAGTTATTCGATTTTTGGCACAACACCGGCCCACATTTCCAGGTGGTCATCGATGACGCGTAACAAACGCGACATATACGGCGAAGCGACGCGTCTGTTGTTTTCCACTTTATTGGACATATTTGGACTGATGCGACGTGTACGGTATGTTCATCACTCGAACAAAGACGTCTGGGTTTATAAAGCCTTAAAATATAAATAAATAGTAAAATAAAAAGAACGTTCCTACTTTGCAGATTTTCACCTATCGCTGGAACATAACCCCCGTGATAAGTGAGGGACTACTGTAAATTCATTGCTTATATCGAAGCGATGAATTAATGAAAATGTTGCTGTTAATTCTTCTCTTTAACTTTGAGTGAAAGCTGCAGACTCTTCTGTCTCCTGGACAGTCAGGACTCTTAAACAAGAAAACACAAAATGTTTAACGTTTTCCACGTTCTGACGACACAGAAGTTATTTAGACACCTGTCCCGCTGCCTCTGCTTGACAAATGCAACAAGCGTGTCCATAATCCGCGCAGATCAGGAGGGATTATGGGTGAAGGAGCCCTGCATGCGTAATTCTGTATTTTAGCTGATGTGATTTTGCTCCCCAGCGTTCCACAGGAAGACAGACAGTCGGACGACCAGCACCCTCCAGCTGCGACGCGGCGCCTGTCACCATAACTCAAGTTGACAATCTGAGTGAACGGAGGCGAGCCGTCTGCGTGCGTGTGCTTCATCCTGCGGGTTTAAGAGGGCTTTTCTTCCCCAGGACTGATCTGTTCCCCGTCTTTTTATTCAAATGTGCGTGCAGTTCTGCCTCCGATCAGACACTCTGAGGCTCCTTGTGAGGTTACGAGCGACTGGACGTCCATAATGTCGTCCGCAGATACGAATAAATACCACAGCAGGACAACTTTTCATTATCCACGGCTGACCTTGGCTTTTGTTGTTCGCTGAAATCCAGCCATCGTTTGTTGTGACGCAGAAGGTGCAGAGGATTTAAACCCCGTGGAGTAAACAAGCCACACTTCACCAGCTGTAAACAAGTGTTGTCGTTTAAGGGAAATTAACTCGGCGTGCAGTTTATGTAACATCATCACACCTTCCAGGAGTTTCATTCGGTTGTTGACGAACCGACGGTGATTGATGATTAAACTGAAACACAGTTGAAGTCCAAACTCAGCGAGAGCCGCAGATTCAGAAATCATCTTCCAAAGGATCATTACAGCTTCAAGCAATTTAGATTATTGATACAAAATGTTTTACTCCTCAAAATTAGACAGCCATTAGACAATGGGGAAATATTTCGCTAACAGTCAAACATGGCTGACTCCAACAGTTAATGCTAAAGCTTTAAGCAAAGGTCACACAATGAGTGGCACAATAACTCGGCTACAACTGCACCAAAGTTCAGGTCAGTGGGCTGTGGCAGCCATCTTAAGTGAGGTTGATGTCAAAAGTTAATCAGTTGTACGTTATTACTTTTTGCAAGTTTCGTTAAAATATCTGCAGAGGTTCATAATTCAGTAACAAAAACAAAAACACAGACATGAGCAAAACCATCATCATCCGCCTTCGCCTTGCGGTGGTGGGCGACAATTAGAGGTGATGAGGCAGCTCCCTGACGGAGGTTCTGTTTAAACTGTGTGAGAACACCGTTTATTTCATGATTTCATCTGTATTTAAATCATAAATACTGATAGATATGACTCATAGGTCAATATCGGTTATTAAAATAGAAACACAGACAGATGAAGTTTAAATTCAAGCAGTGAATGAAACATTTATCTTTATATAAATATGTATTAGATGTGGATTGAGAAGATTTCTAAGGATGGAAAAATTAGCAGAGGATGAATAAATTCACAGGCGCCTGTAAGTCTCCCTACAAGTTATTTTTTTTAAACCAATGTGATTGAACTATACGATCTCAAAATAAGAGCAAGAGATAAAATAATTTATTAAAGTCTATTTGGGGTTTTAAACATTTTATTTTATATGATAAAGGTGATCAGATTGCCATAAAAACAGTTCATCAAATAAATATTGAATTACAACATAATTTTAGCTGTTTAGTTAAAAATAATTTTTTACCTTTTTAAACAGTTACCATATTTTTCGCCCTATAAGTCGCAGTTTTTTGCATAATTTACATGCCCTGCGACTTATACATGAAGCGACATATTTATGGATTTTTATTTATAAACCAGTTTTTGTCTGAGATATAACCGTTTTCATTCATTCTGATGGAAAATATTGAACACTACCATTTTCAACCACTAGATGGCAGTCAAGCAGTACGGCATGCTGTTGTATCATGTAAGGTAAAAGTGGCTATTAATGACACAATCTGCTTGCCATAGTCTGCCACCTTCGTCTGCCTGGACCAACCAACAAATCAGCTTCATTTAGTTGCACTGCCCCGATGAAATGAAGCTGATTTGACCGTCAAAGTGCATTTATTAAGTAAAAGTTCAACTGAGACGCACCTTTACTATAATGTCGAGCAAACAAATAATTGTTTTTAGGTGGTTATCTTGTTAGATTTCGAAGAAATGGACGTTGGCCCTCTGCACAGTCATGTTTCCGCGTATCGGCGTTTGAAAATGCAGCTGATTTGACCGTCAAAGTGCATTTATTAAGGAAAAGTTAGACTGAGACACACCTTTACTATACTTTCGATCAAACAAATAACTGTTTTTAATCTTGTTAAATTCTCGTTAAAGTCCTCCCGTGCACGCTCCCGCGGTCACCATTTGGCAGTCAATCGATTTTTGGCACAACACCGGCCCACGTTTCCAGGTTGTCAGCGGTGACGCATAATAGATGTGACTTAAATGGTGAAGAGACGTATTTATAGATGTTTTCACTTTATTAGACACATTTGGTCTGATGCCACTTGTACAGCAGAAAATACGGTACTGAAGCTCTAAAGTCCTTGAGTCCTTCTGCTTTTTTTTGTTATAATATAGTGTGTGTGTGTGTGTCGTCAGCAGTGTGTGTGTGTTACCTGGAGGGCATCGTAATACAGCTTCTTCCCTTCCTCATCAGTTTTGTCAGACATAAGCCAGGCCTTGAGCAGATACTCATAGAAACTGTCACCCAGGCCACCCACAGACACGTGATCTGCAACACAGATTAACAAAGGGATATAAATCACACACACACAAAGAAACACACACGTCTCCTGTAAGTCTACTGGGTTGGTGTCGTAATGCAGCGGCGGTGAGCCTGTGCAGGACGTTATGATGCGTTCACTGACAGTCAGCCTGTATCTTAGAGTCCGTCCTGCTGATAGCCAGTGAAAGCTCATCCATATGCATGTGCCATTAACAGAGCCGGGCCTGTTGGTGGAGCGCAGAGATTAAATGTCAGTTGTGATCAAATTGAAGTGAGGACAAAAAAGGCTCATGTTCAAGATATAGTTTTCAGACGTCTAAACGTTCCATGAGTGATGATTTTGTCGATGTTTAAAGTTATACAAATACGTTTTAGTCTCAATTATGACTTAATACATTTATCCAGAGAAGTTAGGTTCACATCGTCTGAAAAAATCTAAGTGTTAAAAATTAAAGTGGAACTTTAACAGATAATAAAGAGGCAAGAACTATTTCTTTTAAGCCTTGGTTATTTATTTAAATCAGAGTTTTAATTTATTGAACAAAAACACTATAGTATGTCTTATGTAACTGCAGAACTTTAACAGCACCCTTTTCAAGTGCCTGAGTAAAAACATAAATATCTCCAGTTAACAGTGTCACCTAAATGTCTCTAATCGTAACTTTTTTTAGTTTACATTTTAGATTAGTTCATGAAAGCAGCAGACCGAAGAACCAGATCCACATTTATCCACTGGAAGACACGAGCAGCCCTGAAATAAAGAGCTGCGCCATAAAACTCCACCTGACAGAAGCCTGAGAACGACGTAAAACACGTCAGTGACGATAAAAACTAAAATATAAAACCAGAATAATAAAAAAAAGATGGTTTAATACCACCTATTCGCTTTGGAAATCACAAGATCGTTTTAATGTCACAAACAAAAATCACAGAAATAAAAGGTAAAAAAGGCACCAAAGAAATTAACCTTTTATGCATTTCAATAGTGACAATATTAGAAGCTGAAAGTAGGTTTGAAAAGAAATCCTTCTTCTGCGAGATAACGTTAACAAGAGTACGGTACATTACATGCCCATCGACCAACCTTTATCCACCTTATTCCAGGGGGCTCTACTGTATAAATGGTTATGGGAACAACTTCCTGTCAGACAGGAAGTAGCAGTAAGCATTGGTTAACCATGGTAACGAAGCACGGATCGCGGTTTATTTGAAAATAATTTGCATTCAGTTTAGCAGATAAAACTCTTTTTGTTTTGTTTACATTTGAGGCAGGGCTACCGACTCGGGACCCGAAAGTCCCAGGTTCGATCCAGAGTCATTGCACACCTCGTGGTGTCTCTGAGCAGCACACCCTATCCCCAAATGCTCCCCGGGTGCTTTCAATAGCTGCCCACTGCACCACCTGGTGGTGGATGGGTTAAATGCAGAAAGCCGATTTTGTCATTGTATGGAAATATACGATGATGACAATACATACACATTATTATTATTTAACAACCATAAGTTTACTAAAATAGCCGTGATTATTATTATTTAACAACCATAAGTTTACTAAAATAGCCGTGCTGACTTCAGGTACCTGTTGAGTTCACAGCTGCAGAGCAACCAGACCAAACTAAATCAGTGGCTACAACAACAGTTTTAAACACAAACCCAAAACAAAAAGAATGTTCCTGTGAAAAGAGGTATAGTTTCCATCTCCTACCTACAGATGAGGAATTGAGAAGAATGTGGCTGAAAAATGTGAAATTGAAGAGACCACCCAAAACACTGTATGTGAACTCATTTCACTTTGTTGACAAACGGCCGTCGGAGGAAAACCTGCATCCTACTTTTGTGTCTGGACTACAATAAACCACCGATGAAGAGACGCCGGATCCTCAGAAGGATTGAAAACAGTGACGAGAACATCAGGGATGATTTCAAGTGTATGGAGGTCAGAGCATTATAGTATTTGTTCGTCTTCATTTATGATTTCTTCTACAATTAACCCAAGCTCAGTGATGGAGGACTTTAAGACTTTGGCTGGGGTCTATATCTGCTTAAAGGTAAATAAGATTGTGTCCCACCTATTTTAACAAAACACCACTGACCTTATTACTGTGTAGATACTGATGCACCTCAGAGCTTTTCAGGTTGTTCATCACTTCACTGCCAGAAGAACTGAGTCAGTGAAGTAAATAAATATGCTAGTAGATGTAGCTACACATGCTAGTAGATGTAGCTACACATGCTAGTAGATGTAGCTAAATATGCTAGTAGATGTAGCTAAATATGGTAGTAGATGTAGCTAAATATACTAGTAGATGTAGCTAAATATGCTAGTAGATGCAGCTAAATATGCTAGTAGATGTAGCTAAATATACTAGTAGATGTAGCTAAATATGCTAGTAGATGTAGCTAAATATGCTAGTAGATGTAGCTACACATGCTAGTAGATGTAGCTACACATGCTAGTAGATGTAGCTAAATATGCTAGTAGATGTAGCTAAATATGCTAGTAGATGTAGCTAAATATACTAGTAGATGTAGCTAAATATACTAGTAGATGTAGCTAAATATACTAGTAGATGTAGCTAAATATGCTAGTAGATGTAGCTAAATATGCTAGTAGATGTAGCTAAATAAGTTAGTAGATGTAGCTAAATATGCTAGTAGATGTATATAAATATACTAGTAGATGTAGCTAAATATGCTAGTAGATGTAGCTAAATATGCTAGTAGATGTAGCTAAATAAGTTAGTAGCTATAGCTAAATAAGTTAGTAGATGTAGCTAAATATACTAGTAGATGTAGCTAAATATACTAGTAGATGTAGCTAAATATACTAGTAGATGTAGCTAAATATGCTAGTAGATGTATATAA